CCGCCAGAGACGGAGCAGCCCGCGGGAGGAGGAGGAGGAGGGCCTGCGGGACCACGCCGCGGGAGCCCCGGAGGCGGCTTCCTTGCTTAGCACCTCTTTCGTCCTGAAAGGTGACGCGGCTCACAACCAAGCGATGGTGCACTGGACGGGCGACAATAGCAGCGTAAGTGCTTGGTCGGGGCCGCTCGGCTTTCGGTCTGGGATCCCCCTCGAGCTGCGGGCTTTCCTGCCTGTAGAGCTGGGTCCTCATGGCGCCCTTGCCGGCAGCGGGGAGGGGGAGGGGGAGGGGTAGTGACGTGCCACGTTTGGGTGGGGAAGGGAAGACCCTCCTCGGTCCTCCTCTAAGGAACAACATGGGATTGCATGGATGCCTTTCGGAAGCTTTGCCACGGCTTTTCCAGAGATCTTTGAAAGCTACTCCGTCCCCAACAGGCCAGACAGACCTCGGGCATCCGAGCCGGGGGAAAGCAAGCTTGACACGTAATGAGCGATTGGGACTCAACTCTTCTTGGTTTTGGCATGCTTCGGCGTATTAAGCCACGCAAATGCCGTTTGCTTCCGAATTGGTTGGAATAAGTTAGTATCTCTAGCGGGGCCTGCTCCAAACACGGGCTTCAGAGAAACAATGAGATCTCCCCTCGCTTCTCTCTCCACTGTTGGTGACAAGAACCCCATGTTTCATAGCAGTTGCTTGCTCTCCTAGATGCCAGTGGAAATAAATTTGGCCATTTAAATTTCTCCCAGCTAAGATATTTTTCATCCCCCATGTAACCGAAGGAACACATTTTTGCCTTGACTCCTGCAGTCCCCATCACCTTGATGGTTACAAATGGACATGTGTGTGCACGCTTGCACACAAAGAGACACAAGCTTTCTCTTGAAAATGTAAGAACAGACCCACAGGTTGAGATCCTCTGGGATATCCCATTTGGATGAGAGGTGTTACGATACACACGAAAATTAGAATCCAGTTCCCTCTTATCCCATTTGATGACAGTTTTTGAAGAACATGATTTCAGAGGCAAAAGTAATGGCCTTTAAATCCACAAGGTATTTTAAAGGTCTTCAGAAACACCAATACCAGTTAGTAACTACTTGACCAAAAACTACATATCTTGAGGCATTTAATAATTTGGAAGCATTCTGAATCTGTGTTGGTTATTTCACGCCGTTATTTTTTGTGCTTTCCAAGATTAATGACACCGTTTTAGACAAGATTTTATTGGGTAACTACTGTAACTAATTCATTCAAATTTAGTGGAGTCTCTGCACATTATCATGTGGGTAAACATTTATTTTTCTCCAGATAGCAGCTGCTTTTTTAAAAAAAATTGAAGACTGTTGTCCATTTTTTATATAAAGATGGAATAATAATGCACTCTCCTCAGCTGCAGAGATATTGAGCATTGGTATTCTGTTTTTTCAAAAAGAGGTTGGATGTGGTCAGTGATTCATAGAGCAGTTCAAATACCAAAGCACAAACATACATTCAGTATAACCTTTGCAATGAGAGTTACTTTTATCTCTGGTTTATTTTATCACTTGGTTTTTAAAATAGCAAGGAAACACTTTTCTGGCTATTTAAAAAGAAATGTTTAAATAATATGGTTTTAAATTTAAAAGAAATTATATAGAAAGAAAAAAGGAAGAAAAAGGAAGACAATTGCCCATAAAACATACCTTTATTACATATTAATCAAAATCAGTCTCACATATATATTTATGACACAGTGTACAATTTAATAACTTTTAAACCAGTTTTCATAACAGTGAGAAAAGAGGAAATTAACCACTTTTATTCAGTCCAGATTTCCAAATGGTCTTTGTTTTCTTTTTAAAAATATTTTATTTTATCAGATGTTTGAAAGTATAACCAAGAAAAAAGAGGGGGAAAAATAAAGGAACAAAAAAGAAATAGATTAACAAGCTAGTCTGCATCCATGCGATCATACATTCTTTGACTCGTTCACTTTCTGAATCATATTTCAATGACGACTTATAAACAGGGTTTCTGAATTTTGTGTTATAAGTTTTTCAAATTCAGTCAAGTCTGACTGTTCTACTTATTTTTGTAATTCCTTTTGAACTATATTACTTATCTGAAGATATTGGAATCAGTGAGGAGTTCTGATCATTCCAATGAGAGATTTCTAAATAGTCCTAGAGCTGAGACTCCTGACAATTAAATATTTATGCAAATATAGAAAAGGAACATTCTTTAGACCATTGCTTAATTAATGGAAAATGGATGATCTCCAATTTTTTTTGTGGTGATAAAAGTTTGCATTAACCTTTTGCATTAACCTTCTGGGTTTTTTTCCCCACACCACTGGTGCATAATTCAAAAGAATATGAGCATCTACAAAAACCAATGATTCTTCTAAAACAAAATTAATAGGTAAAATAATTTCCACTTAGAAAAGAATCCCATGACAATCAGTGTTGTATTCGAGCTCCACAACTCCAACGATTAGCTGAAATAATATTTTTCTTAATTTTTTATAATTTTAGATTTATTTGAATAGGACTTAATAGCTGGCAAGATGGTCTTCCACCAACATTCATGTATTCCTTATTCTGTGCCTATTCACTTATACGACATGTATAATCATGTATAGTTAATGATGTTATTATAACATGTATAGTTAATCATGTATAGTTAATGATGGCTTATTATAGCGTAAAAATCTGTTAAATACTGTAATACTAAAGGGATTCTAAAGCAGTTAGGACAGTTGATCCATATTCAAAAGTGAAAAGTTACTGCTCGTTTAACTTGAGCATAAGGATCAAACCACTGTTGCATGCCATATCTCAGTAGCAACTACTGTAGTTCAGGGGAAATTCCATACTTCCCAAGACAGGCAGACTGGGCAGGGCATGACAGTGTAAGTGGCATCAAAGGTGCAGAATCCAAGATGGCTCATGACAGCAAGTTTCCAAGAAATAAAACCTGCCATTAATTAACTTGAGAAAGAAGATTCACATTACAAGTTTAAATTTAAAACCATTGAAGTTTCCTGGATGGAAAACTATGGAGAGTTTTTCTCCAAATAATCTTCCCAAATAGTGTTAATTTATTGAAAATAGGAATATATGTTGTAGAATATATAGGGGAATACATATATATGATCTGTGTTTTATTTTGACAATGGGACTAATGGCAGTAGCTATCATTTTTAATTATTTTAAAACACTATTTTAGGGCATATTACTAAAACTGTGCTCTACATTTTGCATTAATGCTATGTAACCTACCCCTATAATGTTGAATATAATGATAAAAACCCCAGGTTTTGAATTTCTGTCTAAAGTTTTTTTAAAAACATACATTCATACATTTTAAAAAAATAAACACAAAGCAGGAAACGTTTTTGATATTATATGCCTGAATTTAAGTTAGTGGATATTTCAGTGATGGAACAATATTTGGTATGCACCTGTTTAGGCAACAATAGTTCAGAAGCAGATTCTAAGTGACAGCTATCTCCATTTGATTTGATGCTGAGAAAATGCTGATCTTTTTGTACCACAGCAGCTTTGCAACCCTTGTTGAATGAAGAATTAAAAAACAGGTCAGATAGTACTGTTTAAGGGGAAGGTTATTAATTGCATGGAGAGTAATTGTATTAAGTATATCTAGTTTCACTGCCATTATGTTTTAATTAAATCACATTTTATCCTGGGTCCACCAGCATTTTGGAAGTATGGTCCTGTTTATTAGCTCTTAAATGTGGCTCTCAGCCTGAAAGGAAATATGTGCTCTATGAGGAATGAAATATGTGCGTACACACTCTCTCTTTCTCTCTCTCTCTCTATTTCTTTCTCTACCAAATTCTTAAAGACGCTAATTAGCTGTCCCAACCCTCAGCAAGGAGGAGGAAAAAAGAACACGTCTCACGTACCACCATGGTTACTGTCCCTCCCCAGGACTGTCATTGCAATTGCTACAGAATTGAAACCCAGGTGGACAGTTTTCTGACAGGGCTACATTCTCATCACTGCCGTGCCAAATTTCAGTAATACCTACCAGGTCAGCACCCTCATCCACCACTATGTCAGAATTGGATGCAACCTGATTATGCCCTGACCTGGCCTTTACAAGCAGCAGCTGTAAGCTGGAGACCAAGGTACCAAATATTTTGACACTGAGCCTAGAATTGGGACATCTCCCTTATCCTGCAGCAAACTATCCCGGGTGCCGTGCTATAGCTTCCCCTGCCTGTCACAGTCCCAGTTAGGGCCCCCATTGCCTTAGCCCCAAAGGCAGACAATAACCTCTCTCTCCCATCTATCTTCACATGCCCCACTCACCCCTGCCCTTGCACTTTGGCTTACGCTGGTGCGTATATGCAAACATACTACACTAATGGCATACATAACCGTTGATATTCCAAGGTCCTATCTGTCTATCCTGATACTTATCCTATTTTCCATTGCCTTCAGGCACATAACCAGCCTCCTCCAAGCCTTCCCAGGAGTTTTCCCATGCTCTCCATGCAGGACCATGCATTACCCAGCAAAGTCTCTCTCTCTCACACACACACCTTTTCTCTCTCAGAACTCTTCAGCTGCATCCATAGCATGTGATCCAAAAAGTCCAAATCCAGGTATGATTACCCTAGCTCTGTTGTGGCTTCTAAGTCACTTCCTTTCTGGTTCCAGAGATTGAAAACTGCAGCCGTAGTATTCCTTCTCTCCCTGCCTCTCTTTCTTTTTCCATGTCACTGGTCTAAAGGAGCCGATCTAAAATCTCAACCTTTGCTGTCCTTTCTCTCCTTGATTTCCTGCAAAACTCTGTACCAGGTTCCACCCTCTTGCATTGATCTTTATTGCTTTCTAGTCATTAATGGCAACTGCTCTGTTGTCCTCTGCAGCTGTTTCCATGTAGGATTTTGCATTACTCCTTGTTGATATTTCTGTGGCAGCCCAAGAGCTCAGCCCTCTCCGATTCAGCTGTCTTGTGGGAATGGAGCAGGGACTGTTTTTTTCAATTTGAATGATCTTGTCTTTCATCCACCCTACTTCACTAATCTCTTCCTTTCCTCTGGGACTCATTTAAGGGTACTTGCAGTCTCCAGTCATCTATCACTTTCACCCTACTCCGTTTCCTCACTCTCCTCTTCTCACCTCTCATTATCCTGCAGTAACATAATTAATAACACCAACACTGATTAAGATGACTAAATTAAACATCTAATCAGGGTGCTCCTAAAAAAAATCATCTGCCTTCATATGCAGTCTCTAGACTCAAATGCTGGCCGTCCTGAGTGATGGGCTGTTGTGAGACAGTTGTGGAATTCCTGCATAGTTTCTTAAGCTACATCTTAGTCTTAGGAGGAAAAAGTGCCTATGAAGCACCAGATTTGGCCAACACAGAACAGAAACTATAGGTGCATGTTGTAAAACTAAATCCTCATTGAGATACCAGAACCTCTGATATGTGAGCCTCTGATGAGGCATGACAGAAAGTAGTTGTGTCTGTCTTTAACCCCTTAGAAGGGATCGGGCTAATTTTGGAAAAGGAATACGTATGTCCTCAGTTCATCTGGAATCTAACAATAAGGATCAACATTAATTAATACAACAAACCTATATTTAGAGAAATTATAGATACTGCTCTGGTTCAGGGACAGATCAACAGGATGATAATTGCCTTCCAGTCCTGAGCTAGATATTCATCCTTAAAGTTCTCAGAAAATAATAAATTGAGTGGTGTGACCCTGCTGAAGACCCAGTTTTTTCAACAAGGCAATAGCTGATTTCAGCACACAGTTATGGGGTTTCCAGAAGATCTCTAGAATGTCTTGGAGGAAAAGAGCCATGGAAAATAAAACCATTTCTCTGTACATTGAAAGATCAATATCTATCAACTCTTCAGGTATTGTGAAGCTCAAATTATGCTAGATCCCCACTTTCCCTTGCTTTTGAAATCCCTTTCATTCTGCTGGATCTATAGTTGAGAGGATAGGCGGCCAGTCTTAAAAGACAGGGTGGGGGCAATAAGCAACATTTGTTACCAAGCAGAACATAGCCAAAGAGCTAATTTGGGAAAAGCTTCATTGAGAGCGAGTAAGATGTACAAGCAGCTCGCCTTGCCTCCCACCTCTGTTTCTTGGTAGGTGGCTTAAATAAGGAACACAAACAATTCAGAGATAAACCATAGGATCTGCGTCAGCTATCATAAGAAACTACATTGTGAATATACCACGCTCTCTAAGCCATGGTTTCAAAGGAAGTTTTGCTGCCAGAAAAAAAAAATCAGTTTCATTCATGGGGTGAGTTCAGGTATAAGAAACAGGCAAACAACATGATGGCTTAGCATTATGTGAGAATGCATCTAGAGACTCTCATGTTTTAATAAAGCTTAATTATAATAAAAATAGTTTACCTATAATATTTAATAGAAAAGCTTTATGGAATTGTATCTGTTCATTTAAACTGTAAACCTGTATACCCTTTCCTAAGAATAAGTCCCCATTTAATTTCATAATTCTGAATAATATCTGCATCAATTTGTTTTGTTGATTTTCTGAGACATTCTTGGTTTACAATGCAAACCTGGATTTGTCTGTTTGGATACCTCTCTGACCACAAAAAGTCAAAGAAGCAATGCTTAGTTTTTTAAAAGCAGTGATAACAATGGATAACTTAATCATTCTTAGAATTCAAGTCTTGTCAGTACATTTATTTTATTGCATATTATTATGGATAATTCAAGTAGTCTAGCACATATAGCTTAGTTTCTTCTTGCATGTTTTCCTTTAGGTGATTCTGATCCTGACCAAGTATTACCACACTGATATGGGCAAGGTGTTGGAAAGTTCTTTGTGGAGGTATGTTTATTGCTATAAATTTATATTCTTAGCTTTTCTACAAATCATAGAGGAACTATTTCATGCTTGAGGGTTTTGTTTTGTTTTGTTTTTTGCTATTGTGAATGGGGCAAGGACACAAAGTGGGGAAGGCCAATGTCTTCTATTTGGGAGCTTTTGGGTTTTTTTGTTTTCTTAAATTATGTTAAGTATACTTTACTTCATATTTACTTCAAAATTATGGGAAACCACCACACTGATTTTTAGAAGTTGCACTCAGCGATGTGATAGTAGAAGCTCTGGGAGCTGCAAGAAAGAAGATCTGGAATTTGCAGACTGCCCACTCTTGGTCATACAATTAATCTATTATATGATTAAATCGATTCACATTAACTCCAGTGTCAATTTGTTTTAGTTCAAATGAATATCTATCGAATGACTGAAAACTTGAAAAGGCATTTAATGCTTTTAAACTGCAGAGATTAAAAAAAAGCATTCTAAATCCACAATCTGTGTATTATTTAGAGATTGCTGTAAAATAAGTGTGAGCATGAAGATTTCAGCCAAAAATCCCCAACTTTCACAATGAAAATATACAGGAAATTAGAAATTAGGGGGAAACGAACCTATAAAGTCAGGATGGTGTTCTCCCATGTTCTATATCTATTATAATACCATAATGGATAAAAAAAGCTTTGCCCATATGCCAAGTTTCTAATTTTAATCATGACATCATTGAGTACAGAATTAGAATAGGGTTTGCTTCTGCTGCCTTGATGCTATAAATGTTTACCAAGGAATAAGCACTATTTCATTGTAGAAAAGGATACTAGATTTTTAAAATAAAGGTGTGAGCAAATAATAACTTTATTATCTATAGGACTGGTGGCTTCAATCTATTTCATTTTTATCCCAGTCTCCTTCCATGGAGTTATTGGTATAAAACTAACCACAGAACAATAGCACAGGATGGAATTGTTTGCCTCTGCAAACCTTCTTATAAAACAATAAATCCATACATAGGTGATTACTTAGATCAGGAAATTTAACATTAAAACATGCATTAAAGGGAGCTGCATATAGCTAATTAGCTTCCCAGTTAGCAATACCAATACCTGAGAAACAATACTGAATCTGGTGTCACTAAGAAATAATAATAATACTATCTATTAACTCAGAGGCCTTGTTACTAATGTCAGTGGAAAATAGGACTGGAAAGCTAGATGGGCAGAAAAGTAGGAGTCTAGCACGTACTGTGTGATTATTTACCTCTAAGTACCTGTAGTTTACGTGTCATTATTTACACCTAAGCTTGTATGTGATTTTGTGCTAATGAAGTAGAGGATGAAAGTACACAAGGGCCACATGCAGCTTGCCAGCATTACTCCCAAGAGCTCCCCAATGTATGGGGGCAAATTTTGATCCTTTTTGGAGATTTTGAGGGGTTTATTATTTATTAGATTTATATGGTCAGCCATCTCAAATACATGACTCTAGGCAGCTAACAATATTAAGAATAATAAAACCACATAAAAGCATAAAACGTATAGCAATTGACAAAAAATCACAAAAACATCATGCAGTCAACACAACCAGGAAATGGGCTCCATCGTACACCCGGGGCCCTAGGCTTGAGCACAGAACCGTGTTTTCGAGGCCTTGCAGAAGGACAGCAGGGTCGGGACCAATCTGATCTCTGGAGGGGTGATGTTCCTCCAGAGGGCTGGTGCCACAGCTCTGGCAAAAAGGCTCTGCTCCTGGGCCCTGCCAAATGACACTCCATAGCAGACAGGACCTGGAACATGGCCTTCCTGCTGGACCGAATGGGACCGGTAGAAACAACTGGGGAGAGATGGCCCTAGTAACCCAGGCCCAAGCCATGAAGGGCTTTAAAGGTGACTGTCAGCATCTTGAATTGTACCTGGAAGCATATTGGTGGCTAATGCAGCTTGTAGAGCAGAGGTGTCACATGCACCAAATAATAGACCCACTTAACTGCCCGCACCACTGCATTCTGCACCAGCTGAAGCTTCCAAATGCTCATCAAGGGCAGCCCCATGTAGAGTGCATTGCAGTAATCCAATCAGGAGGTCACTAGGGCATGAGTGTCTGTGAGCAGAGCCTCCCAGTTGAGGAACAGGCACAAGTGACACACAATCCATGGCTATGCAAAGGCTCTCCTAGCTATGGCTGCCACCTACTCCTCGAGGAGAAGCTGTGAGTCTAGGAGATTGTGCAACTCCATCCAGAACTAAAGATGGAAGGTTTCCAGAACCAGGAAGCACAAAAAACCAGAGTCACAGTCTTGTTAGAGTTGAGCTGAAGCCTGTTGTGATCCATCCAGACCCCCACAGCCTACAGGCACTGAGACAGAGCCTCCATGGCATCACTCAGATGACCTGGGGTAGAAGAATAAAGCTGAGTATCATCAGCATACTATATTTTTATACTTTCTAAAATGGTTTCTGGAGAATCTCCAAAGATTCTTAGTTTTTGAATATTTCCTTCACTACCTCTCTTATTTATTTTATTTTTAGTTATTTACTTATAAATAAATAAAGTGGCTTGCAATTAAGAATAAAAAATTAAAAAACACAAAGAAGAAATCATGAATGGCCTAGAAACAACATATAACTAAAAATAATCCATCCAATAGGGGCTCAACCTTCATTCTGCCCCAGTGTCTGGGACAATAGCCTTGTCTTTAAATAGCTTCCTGAACATCAGCAGGATGTACCGCTGCATTCTTGACCAGCAATAGCTTCCAAGTGGTCTTCAAGGGTAGCCCCATATAGTGTGTACATTACAGTAATCCATTTGTGAGGTGACTAAAGTATGAGTAACTATCTAAAGGGCCTCCTGGTCCAGGAAAGGGTACAACTGGTGCACTAGGTGTACTTGTGCCAAGAACATCTTGGCCACAGCTGCCACCTGCTCTTTGAGCAGGAGCTGTAAGTCCAATATGACCACCAAGTTGTGCACCAGTCTTGAGTGGTGCTACCCTCTCCATGTCCAACCCTATCCAAGAACAAAGATAGTAGATCCCCAGTCTTGTCAGGATTGAGCCTGAGTCTCTTCTTCCCCATCCAGAGCCCGACCCTCGAGATAGCAGGTCAGTACATTGATAGCTTCATCTGCATAGCTAGGAATGAGTTGTACAGTTGGGTATCATCACATATTGATGATATTGGACCCCAAACTGACAAATGACTTCACCCAGAAGTTCCATGTAGATGTTAAACAGGGGGGTGAGAGCTTCTATCCCTGAGTCACTTCACAAGTAAGGAACTGCAGGCTTGATCTCTCCCCTCCTGCTGAGGAAGGAGGTAAACCCACTGCAGCACAGTTCTCCTCACTCCCAACTCCCACAGCTGGTCTAGAAGGATACCATGGCTGATGGTATCAAAAGATGCTGGGAGATTAAGGAACACAAAGATGGATTCTCCACCCCCATCCCAGCTTCACCAAAGGTAATCAACAAGCATGACCAGTGCTGTCTCCATATTGTACCCTGGCCTGAAATCTGACTGAAATGGGTCCAGATAGTCCACTTCCACCAAGACCCTCTGCAACTGCTGTCCAACCACCTTCTTAACAACCTTCCCCACAAATGGAAGGTTGGAAACTGGATGATAGCTGTCCAGCGTGGAAACATCACTGCTTCCCTCAAGGCCGAGAGGACCACCCCCTCCCTCAAAAAGGATTTTAGCATCACATGGACCCATCCAGAGGTCACCTCCCTGGCCACCTTAACAACCCAGGAGGGCCTGGATCAAACAAACAAATGACTGAATTTACAGCTTGAAGGACCTTGTCCATTGTATCAGAAGTCACAGAATCAAATTCATTCCAGATAACATTGCAGGACTGTGCCCCAGACAACTCACTTGAGTCCAACTCTGAGCACATCTGAGTGACTTTATCTGCCGTATTACACTGAAAATATGTAAAAACATGGCCATGCCAGATGGCCTAGGGGCCTGATGGGGGCTCGCATTGCTGAAACTGGCTCGTGGGATGATTGATACTGCTTCCCTCATCTTCTTGATTTGTACATTGCTTTTATAGATTTGTTATTTGTGTTTTAATCAGGGGGTATTTATTTTTTTATTGTTTTTATTGTCTTGGTTTTTCATTGTAAGCCA